GGGGGGGGTCCATACGAATGCGCTTACTCCAGCTGGTGGTACAATATCCAGAGGCGGTATCGCCTCTCTGATCCTCTAGTTTATTTATTTATTTATTTTTATTTTGAACTTTAGTTAAAGAGGGTAAACATGTTAAGCCTAAACTTATCTTCCACATGGCCCTCAGTTACCAGTCATTCAACAGTATTGGCTTTGTTCCTTACTTCAACCTTAATATGCTGAGTGCTTAGCAAGGAGACAGTAGGTACCATTTTAATGGTAATCTTTGGTATGACCCGGCTTGGGATTGAACCCACAACCTACTGCACTGGAGGCAAGCACTCTACCATTTGACCCATCCGGTCAGTCGTCTGGGTATTATATAAATACGGTAATGTGCCATGAATTTCGAACAGCAGAAAATAGTTGAATTTGGGAAAAGATCGTTCTGGCCGAAATTCATGAAATGGAGGTGCTCAGAACTTCCGAAAGTTCGAATTTCATGGAATTCTGTCAATTTTGACCGGAAGTTGTCTGTTCGTCGCTAGGCCTTCTGTTATCTTCTCCCAACGATCTATTTAGAGTTACCATAATGTATGATTGTGTGAGTGTCGGTAATTGCGACCAAAGGTATACACGTACTTTTACGCTGGCGCAACTGCTACGCCTCACTTACGACCGGTTGGTGCAACTGGGCCCAGGTTCGTTGCTTTTACCGTTAAAGTCGGGCGGAGCTTTACGCGCGAATGCGTCCTAATCTCGCCGTTCGTGGGTCGGTGTCTCCAACGCATACGTAGCCTTCCCTACAGAGGCCGGCCTCGGCACTACGGCCTCTCCTCTGTGCGGGGAGGCCACTACGACCGCAGATCGGTATGTGCGGCGCACAGGTAGCCTTCGCCACGGCAGCCGAACTGTGTATTACGGTCTCTCTCCGTCGTGCGCTGCGACCAAGATGACCGCTGATTGTTGTCTGCGATCAAATATACTAGGTTTGGGGGGGGGGGGTGCAGGGCCGTTTTTTTTTCGCTCAGGCAACCCAATCTTAACCAGCAGCAGCAACTGATTTCCTGGCGCATAGTTGCGTCAATGTACGCATTTGAAAAGCGTGTACGTTTTGTCATTGAAACCATCTTCAAACAAACGCGAGAGATAGGTAATCTAGAGTAAACCGAAAAGGCAGTTTTTATATTCGTTCAAGGGACTGGAAGATCGTCAATGGGAGATAGTGAGCGATCTGAGCGCGACAATAAGCCAATTTCCACACTAGTTCAAGTGACTTCGTTACTATATTTGTCAGCAACAGATCGTCAGTGATCCGAGCAAGCATAGAAGCTTGGACTTTTTGTCCATGTTAGAAGGCAATTTTCATGTAGTCAGCAGGATATGGTTTGCTGGTTTGCGACAGGGGCGTAACCAGGCATACGCACGGATACACTGTGCGTATATAATTTTTTGGCCAACCATGATATTATTCTCTATAAATCTAGTGTACTTTTCAAGGAATATTATCGAAAATCCCCTTCGATTATAAGTTAATGTCACCTGAATGTACAAATTCTCTGTATAATTTATATATGCACCATTGTTCTGACACCCTTCTCATTTGCTTTCACAGAACTGAGGTAAACAATACTAGTTACCATCTGAAGTCCGATCTTAATCCTCCATCTAGCTGGAACTTGCTTTACCTCTTAATTAGAGGGTAAAGTGCCCTTCAGCTCACAGGTAGCTTTTGTCTTGAGTGTATCGAACACGATATTTATCTCAGATAAAAATCACCTGTGTGTTATTTCAAAGAGCTGCTCCAGCAGACCTGGGGGCACTAGATAAATCTGATCATCGGGCTAAACAAGGAGCCAGAGAAACAAAGGAAGATTGATTTTTCCTGCAAAGTTTCAAAGAATTTTGACATGGACTTGATCCAGCTTAACCCTCCAAACTAACGGGGTGGCATGGGCAATTTTCCGACAGAAAAAATTGGATACTGGTCAATGTAAACTTGAAAATCTGGCCATCTTCTGGAAGACTCAGAAGACGGCCGCAATCTGCTCCTGGGGGAGACCATCAGTGGTTTAGTTGGCATTGCTTTTAAGTGGGCTGGCCATATCTGATCATAAATCTGTTAGTCTGCGGATCAGCTTGTTCTGAATGCGCTCTATAAGATCATAGTTTAGATTAGATTTGGTGTATTTTCTGTTTAAGGTCCATCCATTAGGTGACCATCCTGATTTTGCGTCTGGTGGTGTTGGTACCTTTCTGGAGGAGACAACAGGGGATCGGAACGGCAGCTTGTGGACTGCTGTGAGGGAAAGTGATCACACAGGTTCTCTTTCTATCTAAATAATTATAAAACTTCAACCCTTGGGCTGTGATTTTTTACTTAATAATCGTCTTTACCATTATTGCTTTTCAATTGATATTTCAATAAGACAAGGTATTTTAAGTTCTATATGTGAATATCTGTTCCTGGTGAATTAACTTTATGCTGTCCTACAGCTGGTTCGAATCTGTCAGTTATGGTAAAGTCTTGAAAATTTGTTGGTCTTGAAAATTTCGTCTGCAGACATAGTTCTGCCGATGTAATTTTTTTGACTTTGAAAATTTCGTTGAGCTTGAAAATGGGTCTTCACGTTAATTTTGAAAAGTTTGTCACCATATGTCACAGTAAAGAGCTTTATGTTAATTATAACATTGCATTGCATCCTTTCCTATGATATTGACTTTTAGCTGTTCTACAACTGGTTGATGCTGTGACTTTCTTGTTGAATTCTGGGACAGAAAAATTACCTAACACAGAAAGGCGGGAACAGGTAGATAGATAAGTGTATTAAAAGATACGTAAATGACAGTGAAAAAGGTAATGATAGATAAATGTTAGAAGTATATAGATATATGAATATTTAGTAAAATATAAGTGAAGGTATATCAATGAAATAAATAACATTTTGACAGCCAGAAAGAAAAGCTATGGTAATTACTCAATCTTTTCTATGGGCAAAAACTACAAAACTTTGAGATAGAATATTTTATAATCACAAAAATTATATTTCTGTGTAGTATTTGTTGTACTTTTACTTCATAGAATAAACTACACAGTAGCCAACTTTTTAACTTTGTTGCTACCACTCAATATAAATGTTCTAGCTAATTTTTATAAATTATTACTTTAAAAATATAGTATACATAAAATTCACAATTTTCGCATATTTAAAAGATCGAGTAATTAGTGTATAGCATCAGCAAGTCTTTTCTTCCACAGATACGGAGTGATATGATGGAGGCAGTGGGAAATTTAACTATTGACAGCCTATCTACTGCCCAGCAAGCAGCAGAGACATTGACCAAACTCACAGAACACACCACAGAGATTACTGCAGACTCACAGGTACTGAACACTTGACGTCTTTGGCTTTGTAGAAAGTATAAGATGTAGCAGATATTAAAATCTAGCATTTATAATCTTCCTCCAAACTTGTTATATCAGGTTAAAAATTGTACAAACTGGTTCAAAGTCTCGTGAATGAATTCCCTCCGTAAAATTTTAGGCCTGCCGCTCAACTCTCGCAAATTCACTGCAAATTTGCAAGAAATTCTATTAACATATAGAAATTCTTGCAAATATGCTGCGAGTTTGCTGCTAATTTGCAGCAAATTTACAAGGACTTGAATACTTTCTTGCAACCTTACTGCAAACTTCATATTTTCTTGCAAATTTGCATCTAATTTGTGGCAAATTTGCCAGGACATAAGACTTCCTTGCAAACCTGCTGTAAACTAATGTTGTTATTACAAATTTGTTGCAAATTAGCAGCAAGAAAAGTTTCCTTGCAAACTCCTGCAAACTAGTTGCCACAAACTTTTAGTTTGCAGTAATTTTGCCCCAATATTGCTGGAAGCTTTTCATTTTGCTAAGGGTTCATGGAGTGTTTTTTTTTTTTTTTTTTTTTTCTTGTTTCTGTATGTTTTCCAGCTTGACTAATTTCTGTCAGTTTTGCTTTAATATGCAAAATGATTTTTTATACCTTCTTGTATCTGGGTGATAAAAAAAGTTGTTTCTTTGAAAGATGAAGCATTTTTTTTTTTGGGGCATTTTGTTGGACAGTGGAAATATCATGTCCTATAGGTAAAATCATGTCTTGTTTCTTTTGAGACAATTGACAATTTCCCAGTAGTCTTGGACTACCTCCATATTGATTAGATTAATTTTCAGACTTCAGGCATGAACACAGTGGAGAGGTTATCCCAGGTGTTGAGCAGTGAACAGAGGAATGCAACTTTTACTGAAGTGGAGGACACTGCCACGTAAGATATGAAAGAATCTCTTCCTAAGCACTAACAAACACATACAAATGTTATTAAATCAGAAGCTAATCTCTTACTGCATTTAAGTTTATAATAAAGGATTATAAATGGTAGATACTCTTTAATGTTTAGCAGTACATATATTTTCAATTTGCCATTATCATCTTTGTATGGGTATATTTGTTTACAATATACCGACCAGTTTTCTTCGTAAGGTTTGATTTGTTTTCATGGCATTAGACCCATCTCATTCGTAATGCATTTTCCAATGTGATAGATCATTCTTTATAATAATATAAATTTATCTGCTGTTTTCTATGCTTTAAATGTTTAAAGTCAAAGTAATCAAAAACTTGGAACTTGGGCAAGCCGGATGCCCTCTTTGTATTCCATTGGCCATAGCTTAAATATTAAAAACTGAAAAAAAAAGAAAAAAAAACACAATATGAAAAAACAATCCTTATTGATCATAATTTACTAAATTATAATGTAGTATGTTCATTGTAAAATGTAAGGTATTGTTTATTTATGTAGTTTGATTCTTCAATCCACCTCCAATCTGTTGAATGCCACCATGGAGGAGTCGAGAGAAGTGAATATCACCAGCATGACTCAATCTGAAGAGGCCATAGTGCAGAAGGTGAGAGGATGGATCAGAAGTCAGTCAGTTTTACACACACACACACACACACATGCGCGCGCGCACGCACGCACGGGCAGATCCAGAAGACCCAGAAAATGGTCCACCCCTGAGAGAGAGAGGAACCTTTGTCAGCTGACTGATTGATTTCTCTCCCAAGCAATACAGATCTGTAGCCAGCAATTTCAAAGGTAGGGGAGTCTTTTTCTGAAAAAAATGGACCTTTTTCCAGGAAAACTTTGTGTACCTAGATCAATTTTTACCTTTAGGGGACCTTTTCCCTAACAAAAAGGGCAAACGTTCATACTCCCCTGACCTCCCTGGCTATGGACCTGCAATTTAACAGGCAAGAAAGCTGCAACCAAACAACCAGCCAGATCAGACATAAATATCAACCAGATGAACCAAATAAATCATCTTCATTGTACCAAACACACACACACACACACACACACAAACACACACACACACACACACACAAAAGAAGCAGGGGCGGATTGAGGCCGTCTTCTAGGTCTTCCAGAAGTCGGTCAGATTTTCAAGTTAACATGATGGGTAGGCCTATCTATTTTTCTTCGGAAGATGGTCAAAAATGGAGGAAGGATCAACAGGGATAATTTGGAAGACTGTCAGAAAATATCTCTGGATACGCCACTGAGAAGACAAAAAAAAAAAAAAGAAAAAAATATAAAACTGACTGACTTCCGATCCTTCCTCTCACCTTCTGCACTTTGGCCTCTACAGATTGTGTCATGCTGGTAATATTCACTTCTCTCGACTCCACTTGCTCATACTAAACCAAACAGTCATGCAAACCACCAACAACTAATAAACCAACCCTGAAATCAAAAGCAAAGAAGTTCAAGTTTCTATACTAAACAGTCAAATCCCTATATAATTATAAACCTTTCCAATCAAAATGTTAAATATGTATTTCCATGTTCAACTTGCAGACCAGATACATAGCAAATAAAGCACTGAGTGTCATCAGCACTATCTCAGACACTGTGCTGGCAAAGAAGGTACCAGGAGAAGAACCCACTGTTATAGCCACCAAGACTTTGAGTGTCAAGGTGGGTGAGCTTTGCCAAGAAAAAGATTGAACCCACATGCTTGAAGATTTAACATGTAGTATGTCTTAACTATTGTGATAAGGCTAATTGTCAGTTTTGCTCTTGCATTGGTTCAAATGGTTACAGGATATGTATCTTTCAGTATTGGTGCCCCAGTTCCATTAAAATGCCAGAGTAGAATGTCAGTTAAAGCTATTCTTGTCATATTTAAGAAATGTTAAGCATCTTTAAGTTTAGAAATGATATGGCTAGACACAAATATTAACTTTGTCATGTTAACAAATCTCAATCATATTGATAATTACCTAAAAAATTACCAATTTGTAAGTAATATGGTAGCAGAATGTTTGTTGAAAAGGAATCAAACCCTTTGGGCAACTCTCTTATTATTTGATAGAAAATTAAGCCCAATATATTTTCCCCATCAATATTTATTTTAACTTGAATCAGTTTTGCACCAGTCTACTGCAGTTCACTCATTTTTTGAAGTCATCCATGACATCATATGCTTTATGCCATGTGTAATTGTGTTTTAGTGTCAAAAATTGGGCCTGGACGCAATGAGTATTTCCCACCAACTGCAAGTGCCCCAGCTCATTTCAGCAGAAGGGGGGAGTGATGAGACACCACCGTGTATGGTCGGCAGCTTTGCTTTACCTCCTGTTCAAAATATGCTTAGTGATGGTCATGAGAGTATGTCTGCTGCAGTTAATTTGCAGGTATAGCTGTTTTTTTTTTTTATTTAATTTTGTTTTGTTTACTATGTGCCTTTAAGGCAGGGATGTAGGTTAGATTTTATCTTAAAATAAAAGTGTCAACTTTTTTTTATTCCTGTTACATTCATTTAATGGATCTTTGAAACATGCAATTATATGCTTGAAACACAGCTCCATGTGTGTGTATGGAGAGGGAGGGGTATTGTTATGATCAAAGACAGGTTTGTTTCCTTGATGTTATTTAACTTTTTCATTTAACAATGTAAATGCTTTCAGAGAGCTCTGTTTATATATGATTCCTTGAACATAGGTATATTTTAGTATCTAACAGTAAAATGGGTGTTTATTTATTGATTTATTTATCAGATATTCTACATGCCGGAGAATCCATTCACCTGGGATGTTTCAGCTCAAGATGTCACCTCCGGCTGCTCTGGTATTGAAATGACTATAGATGGCGCTAGGTCCCAGCTCAACTGGCTACCAGTACCAATGGATATTTACATCCCTGTTGGAAGTAAGAAACTAAAAGATGTTGTGTAGACTAGTGACTTATTGTTACAAAATATTGCATGAAAGGGATTCATTCTGATTGCACTTTTGATATTTTGTCTTAAATGCCAAATTTTAGCTTTTCATTTTTTTATTCTATCAGAACATTTTATGCAGACATTTTCCATGCTATATAAAAAAAACTTTGCTAGGCAATTGATTTTGAGTGAACATGTAGCAAGTTTGTTGATGGCCTCAGTTGGGAACAGGTCTACATGAGATTTAAACAATACCATTAAAGACTTTTTAAAATCTTAAGCCTTTATTCTAGAGGCTGACATGAACTGTGGTATCACCACCCTCCAACTTGAAGGAGGGACTAACGGGACCATGGAGGACGTCATTTACTTCAAGTTTGATGCTGAGACCAACAAATCACATCAGATCACCATCTGGCCAGTAGACAATAATACCACCCTGCAAGTTTACCTGAAAGCCAATGCCAGGCCTAGCAAGGAAGAGGTATGCTGCTTAGTCAGTGCATTTATGTGTAACCAAAAAAGAGTTATGATAAATTTTTAATATATTTTTTCACAGATATGCTCTTTCTGAAGTAAATTATGTGGTCAGTTATTGTTGAATTATAAGTATTGAATAGGTACTTGATTTTTTTATGTACAGACACAGATGTGTCTGTACATATAGCCATCATCTGCGTCTGTCGTCGCCGTCGTCGCCGTCGCCGTGCACTTTTACCGATAACACGATAAGTGGAAAACCATTTTACCTTTTGACTTGAAACTTGCAGAACTGATGAATATTCATAATACGCAGGTCAAGTTCGAAAATCAGCATGATCGGGTCACTTTTAGGGAATTTATGCTGTTTTTTTACTTTTTTCAGCATATATGCAGCACTGATAACACGATAAGTGGAAAACCATTTTACCTTTTGACTTGAAACTTACAGAACTGATGAATATTCATAATACGCAGGTCAAGTTCGAAAATCAGCATGAT